TATATATATATATATATATTAAATGTGCGGCCTGCAGGCCATATTATTATAGGTGGGGCGGAGTGACGTAAACTTGGCTAGATACTAGTGAGTAGTGACTGTCATTGAGTTTTAGTGATATGAATGTTTTTATATGTACATCCAAATAATTATTACATTAGTTATTAATTAAATATTGGTTAAATGTTAGTCCTTGTGTCGTCTCTCTCTTTAATGATTTGTATATTTTTTTATTTGAGGTTCATAACAGTATATTGTACTAAGCAGTTGTTGGCTCATTAGTTTGTGATTCATATGCATGCACTAAAATTTACCAGAATGCATGGAATGAAGTCTTTGTAACAAAAATTTTCCTGGTGGGGGAGTCCCGGGACCCCCAGAACCCCCGCTTAAAAAGTGGCCTGACTGGGGCTATATTTCACGCTATATTTCCCGGCCTGAATGATTTTCCCAGTCCGGCGCTGCTCTCCCATCTTCACATGACCATGATAAATTTTATAAGAGGTTGTAAGTTTTGCATTAAGAAAGCAGACACGAACAGGAGGCCAATCAAGTTGAATCAAAACGATCATTGAAATATTATGATAGTTTTTGGACACCCATCTCGCAGCCTCATGCTGGTTCACAGCGACAAAGTATAAAAATATATAAATTTGTATAGGCTCTTTTGTAACGGCGTGGCAGGCACATATAATAACCTAATAAAACTGTTATTATTAGCATATATAGTATGAGATAGATTCAGTATAAACCAGCATAGTACATGAATCGGGATAAATTTAGAGCCTATATAATATTTATAATTATTACTGACTCGATTTAGCTATTTAGCGAACGAACAACTTTCGTCGGTTAACGAATAACTTTTAGCGGACGTTAGTGAAACGCGAGGGGTCTATGGATACACGCCACACCACCGATTGCACTGCCTTTCTGTTAAATATTGGTGAAACAAAGTGGATATTCTATCTGCGCCTTCCACGCTCATCAGCGTTGCTGTCATTTGGTTAGGTTAGGATAGGTCAGGATAGGTTAGGTTAGGTTAGGTTAGGTTAGGTTAGGTTAGGTTAGGTTAGGTTAGGTTAGGTTAGGTTAGGTTAGGTTAGGTTAGGTTCGGTTCGGTTCGGTTAGGATAGGTTAGGTTAGGTTAGGATAGGGTATAGGTTAGGATAGGTCAGGAGAGGTCAGGATAGGTTAGGTTAGGTTAGGTTAGGATAGGATAGGATAGGTTAGGTTAGGTTATAAGGCTAAGTATATATAAGTAAGGCTGATAAGGTCTATGTCTTCCTGGGTACTGCCAGAACGTACCCTGGTAACTATCTGATAGGGTTAGGGTTAGGGTGTAGGCATAACGACTCCCTAGACTCGTTAGTGGAGTAGGAGAGGTACGGTCCGGCATATTAGATAGTACCAGGGTACGTTCCGGCAGTATCCTGGGAGACATGTGATAGAATACTCGCACATCATGCGTTTCACCAATATATGCACCGATCTCCATTCCAAGTTAGATTTGTTTACACATATGTCAACAAAGCTAGTGCATGATTTTCGATCTCGCGAGATGCTATCGATCAGTACCCTGTCTCTCTCTACACTATGTTACCTTCGTCTACATATCGAGATAAGTACGGTACCAGTCTATAAATACGTGCGTCACGTAACTACGTGTACTTGTCTTGTGGGAGTATTTGAGAATTCCATTATCTCAAATCTCAAGAGAGCAGGCACATGTTTGATGTTAATTTACCATACCTGTTTTATACCCTATAACAGTAGAAACTCGTAATAATTTTTATGCTGAAGTAATCAGTAATATGTATGCTGACAGGTGAGAATAAATTTATCTACATTTAGTGATTTCTCAATTTATTTGAATTTATTTGAGATATTATTGATTTAATAGAAACGAATAAGTTATACTGGGTGTGAAAATGTACTGCACGGTGCTAAAAAACTCACACAGACCCAACTTCTCTCAAAGAGGCTCCCGCCATATAGCAAATAGTCAACACACATGCTAGCAAAACCAAGGTTGTTAAGCTAGTGCGTGTGATCCCTCGAGGCATGGTGGCACTTGATGTCGACGTCTTACTTGTGTATCTGTTATATGAAATCTGAAAAGAGCATGTCAATAAGCACATTAATTTATTTCTGCCACTGTTTTATAAGAAACAAAATTGTGATAACAGGTATCAAACCTATGTTAGAAGTCGCCTTCCTATAAATGATGCATTTTGTTCTCCCAGAAAGGCCCTTATATAGTTATAGTTATACACAGATTTGACCGACCGTACATGAAATAGATAATTACAATAGGAGGGGTAGAAATTAACTTTTGAATAAGGGAGTCCAACAGACTCGATCCCTACCCTCAAAAAGAGGGAGTCCGCAGTCTGAGGTTCAAAATTAAAGATATTAACAATAACGCATGTGCTAATTTTTAAGATTCATGCAGTTGCACGTCTGCAAAATTTTCTTCGGACATTAGCTGAAAAAATACAGTAATTCCGCGAGGCCGTACTTCGGAACAAACTATAGTTAGTATGGCAGAATTTTCAGGGAGTCACACGGACTCCTGCATATGTCAAATCAGGGAGTCCGACAGTAAATCAGGGAGTATTTGACTCCGGATTCCCGTTAATTTCTTCTCCTCTCGCTTCTCCAGTATACCACGTCGACTAATTTGCGCTTTCAGAGCCTCGATGGTGCTCAAGCTGCTTAAGTCTGGTAGATTGTCGATCTCGATGTATTTGGATTGGTATTGGAGATGTACGGGAAATTCTCGCGCGTAGCAATGGTGAGGGCTTCGGTTGATGGTGAATTCTGCTCAAGGGGTCGTTGTCGTATCACTATCAGGTACTACAGATATGTACCCGAGGTACATATATGTATACACAAAGTGTACCAGACTTGTACTACAGAAGTGTACCCTAACCCTACACAGGCCCGTAGCCAGCTTTATATTGGGGGGGGGGGTTAGTTTTTCACATTCCACACTTCCACCCTGTGGTGTCATATCGCGTGAACATTCCTATTCAAAAATAAAATAAAAATAAAGATCAAAGCATACTATAACGTAATAAGACATATTATAGCATATTGACATTTCATCAACTCATCAAAACTGGTTTATAAGTAATCCCTAATGTTCAGCTGTTTCTTTATATATACATATTAACACATACTCCAAGTATTGGGCAATATGATCGCTAACCTAGTGACAGTGTCGTACATCACGAATATTTTAAGAGGCTGTAATGAACACGTCATGCCATTTTTTTAAGGTAGATACACTATGTAATATTTATACCTTCAGTAATAAGCTCAAACAAGCAGCGGTTAGATGCAAGTGGGCCGTTTTCAAAAGCAACCAGGTGCAGTATAGTTCCGAATAGCTAGCAATCTGTGCATCTTATTGGGGGATCTTCAGCGCCCCACAAATTGAATGCATTGCTTTCCACGAGTCCACCCTCTTGTAACCTGGACAACAGAGATGGGCGGGAGGCAGCCCAAGCTCATCCTTCTGTCTAGCTGCCTGGTAGGCCAGAAATGAGAACTGTGAGGAATCAATACGGCTTGAATATAAACGATGAATAATACCAAATGAAGAGTTGGCAAGGAACGAAGTTTGGGCACCGAGAGTACCACAAGTTCTCTTTCTCCGGGCTTAACACTACGTTGGAGTAGGTTTTCACAAGCGCGACGCAATAGAATATCGTTCGGAACATGACGTGCGCTGCTATTAAACGTTAAAATATTATCTAACTTTTTATGATTCTTACCGCTTCCTCTGTAACTTCACGCTCGACTTTATTATCATTGCCTATCAACGAGCATTATCCTATTTAACTGTATTTGTCAAGGTCAAGATAGTAATTAGAAAGTGTAGCGATAGTTGCAACTAGAGTCCCTATATAACAGAGAAGTAGCAGCCATGACGAGTCGGAAAAAATCGTCACGTGATCGCTGCCCGGGGCATGTTGTTTCGCAAGTGATGAACACAGCTTCCAGCTTAAGTACAGCGCTGTATGATACGCTGTACAATGGTCGGCATAAGTAATTATTAACTAATCGTGCTTAAATAAAACTCAAGATTTACAGAGATTATAGCTAAAGACTGTTCTATGTGTACTAAGATTTATAGAACTGCAAAACAAATAGTTCAGCTACGAGCGAGTGGAGAGTGGAACGGCCATTTATCTTGTGAATTACAGTGACTATCTGCTGTGTTTACTACTAAGAAAGTGTACAATTAAGCTATCATATGGGGCCCCCCCGGGCCGAACGATTTGAGTTACTTTTCTAGAAATCAGATAGCATATAAACACTATGTGTTATCTATAAATCTCTGTAATTTTTGAGTTTATTGAAAGCACGGATTATTCTAATTAATTACTACGGACCCATTGATACACCGTATAACCAATACAGCGCTGTACTCGTAAGGGCGGGCGAGCCGGTGTACTGATCACATTTGGAACAACCGATGGAGGTCAAATCCTGAGTTGGCGCGTACTGATCCTGTAATACTAAGGAGACTCTAGTTGCAACATGTTAAACAGTGAGGTCAAATTGGTAAACGATTGAATTTATTTAACGTAGAAACCAAGACTCTTCGGGCATGTCAGGCGGAAAGATACATTTCCACGGTCATTTCAATAAAGCTATAAAAAATGGTAGGTCACCGTGAAAGCAAAAAAGTTTTTCTATCGCTCTGTCGAAAAAGATGTCCTCAAGAATCTAGTCCTCTGCCCCATTGACCTTGACACTGTGACCTCCAATTTCGGCACAGTAATGCTTTTCCTACTATGATGCTATACACACAAACTATCACAAGCCTAGATCACAGCCGTTTAGATCTTGGTGCCGCAAATTCTGCATTTCCTCCCTATACCTTAAGTTAAGGAGAAATGTTTCCCCTTCTTATACAACTCTGACCTTTGAACCCTTGACGCTACAGCTTCGAAATCCCAACTCGTTTTCGATTAACCCCCCCCCCCCCCTCCACGTCTCGAATATCGTGAAACCGTCGTCGAACGGTTAAGATTTTGTGCCCAAGTTTGACGGACGGCACGAACGGACGCATTGAAACGGTCGCACGATCATGTCGAATTCTACAAGCTGCATCTGACTAACTTCAGATGAGCTAGAAAACAGAATTAAAACTTAATAAATAAATATTATGCAAGTAACAAAATATTGTTTTAATCTGTAATAGTATTTGTCATGAATTTTAGCTAATCTATTTATGGACTCTTGAATGTAATGTAATCTATGTGGTTCAATAGCACTAGCCTATAACTTAGAAGAATTAGAGGTCCATTCAAAACGGCGACTCGAGTCCCTGTCTTTTGGCTGATATTGACCTGCGATATTACTCGAGTCAGAGTCAAGGTCAAAAGTTATTTTTCAGTGGTGCTCGACTCAAGTCAGTCATTTTCGGGTTCCCCGACTCGAGTCAAGTCGAGTTCAGCAAGAAACCTGCGATTTGAATCGCCTCGCGTCGGAGTCAGTGACTTTGACATGTACAACCCCCCCACATGGGAGTAGTAGTAGTAGTAATAGTAGTACTAGAAAAAAAAAAAAAAAAATACTACTAAACCGACCAGGCTCATCCCGACTGTTACATCACGGCGGAGGAAGCCTGACACCCTTCCATACGAAATGCCTGGTAGCTTGAAAACAACTACGAATTTCGTAAATAAAACATGTTACAGGTGTATTACCACATTTGACCTCACCTGGTTTACATGTACAACTCTCGGCTACAGCTGCAGCTATAGTTATTTGAACGTTGTAAAACGCCATTCTTGGTTGTTCTTCAATGTTCTCTTTTTGTACGCAAAAAATTCACGAACTACGCTACTTATTATGGAATATCTATGGGGAAATAGCGGCGTTATCTTTTGAGTTTTATCTGATCAAGTTTATAAACCAATTACTCGGCTGACAATGTAAGTAACATGCTCGTGATAGCGCACATATAATAAATCGAGGCGTGGCAAGTAACAGATAGAGCTGTAAAGAATCCATAAAAAGTGAAATAATTGTAATGTTAAATAGCAGCGCACGTGCTCCGCCTAGCTCGCGCCACATACCTACCCACACCCCCCACACCAACAACCCCCCCTACCCACCCACCTACCCCATACCAGTCAATACCAAAGCTACCCAGCCCACCCGAGATAACAACAACCCCTAATACTATAACCGAACCCCACAATGCTAACACCCCACCGCTACGGCGCCGGGAACCATAGGGGGCACCGGGGACCCAGGGACCCGCCCGACGCGCACGAACGTTCACGCCGCCGTACAACGAAGCATAGCTAGCCACGGGCTACGGGCGGGCGTCCCCGCCGCGCCGCCGGCGGGACAGCCGCCCTGAGCGCCACGCCGGCACAACGTACGGGCGCCGCCCCGCCCACCCAGTGACCCGGCTAGCGCCGCTACGCCCCCCCCCGGCCACCGGTCGTCTACCGACCCAGCCGGCCGCACCAGCCACGATGGGCTACCACCGGCCACCCCGCGCCCATACAATCGCTCCCAACCAACCTAAGCACCAAAGCCCAAGAACCCCAACGGCCGCTACACCCTCACACCCACAACACGATCCACGCGCTAGCCGCAACGCTAAAAATATCCGCTACCACAGCAGGCTACTAACCCCACAAACCCAATTCACACCGCTAAACACAACTAGCTACCCCCCGGCAACAACCCACTCAACAAGGCTCCCCAACAACTGTCAACTACACCACTATTCACACCCTGCCGCACTACACCAAAAACCGACCCCAACCACAGCCATAACACACCACCCCCCCCAGACCAACGACCTCGACCCCTACACCCCCACCCTACAGTACCCAAAACTACGCCAGCGCAGCACGAACGAAACTAAACACCCCCAGCTCCAAGCGCTCTAGGTATACACCATCCCGGCAACACCCACCACGACCCACCACCCAAATACCGCACCGCAATCATCAAAGAATCGCACCTACACCTACTACCACCAGCACACCACTCGCCCCCTGCTACCCACCGACAAACCGAACAAAATCTAATGCGTCGGTACCTGTGACTATCTCGCCAATGTAGTGTTAGCAAG